GTACAGCACGGAAACAGACCCTTCAGTCCAGCTTGTCCATGCCAACCAGATCTAGATACAAGAATAAAGTTAGCTGATATCCCTACGTTTGTTGATAACGATACTAATCAACATCATGTAGGTGAATAAGAAGAGGGAGATTCTTTAGGGAATCTGGAGATAATGAGTCTAGGGTTTGGACAGGAAACAGTTCCTCCTTCTGAGTTGTGCAGTCCCCATCTTTAGTTTATTTTGACCTCCTAATGTTCTTGATCTCTCTCTCTCTCCCGCTCCCCCCCCACCCCGTCAAATGGATGTCCCATACCCCCTCCATTGCTGCAGTTGCTTTTACAAATAATGCTTTCCACTTTTGAGACGAATGTTATTTTTACCTTTAGTAACCATCAAACTGTTTAAATCCCAAGACTAAGCAACATGTAAAATGTCTTTTGCCTCTCCCAATCCTGGAAAATTAACTACTACAAAAATGTAAGAAATAGAAGGAGGAGGCCATTCAGTTCCTCAGACATGTCAAAAAAGTCATGACTGATCTACCACAGGCCTTAACTCCTCTAACATGCCAGCTCTTCATAGCCCTGAACTACTGATGTTACAAAATTCCACCTATTCCTTCCTTAAATACTTTTAAGGATCTTGTCCTCACAGCTCCCTGGAGTTCTCCAGGTGTGGCCTCAACAGAATGCTGTGTGCTTATAACAAGTTATACCTTTTTTTTTTAAACTAAACCCCTTAGCAATAAAGACCAAAATTCCAATTGCCTTCTTAACTACTTTCTGCAACTGCCTGCTAACTTTTTGTATCTCATGTTCGAGAACATCCAGATTCCGCACCCCACCCCCTCCTTCTGATATCTTTCTCTCTTTCCATTTAAGTAACGGTCTGCTTTTCAGTTCTTCCTCCCAATGTGAATGACCCCGCACTTCCTCACTTTTAATTCCATCTGTCAGGTTTTTGCCCACTCACTCAGTCTATCTGTACACCCAAGCAGATTCCTCATGTCCTCATCAGTGGCCAGCATTGTCCTCTTCAGGTGATTTTTGGACCTCTCTCTGTTTTGAGAATCAGTTTGGTATGTGGCTGAAAAGGACCTGTTGCTGATTGGTTCCCCATTCTCCACCCTGTCTGATTCCCCTTTTCACTGAAACCAATGGAAAGGGAGGTCAGGTGAGGTGAGTAATCCTTCCCAAAATAACAACCAGCCCTGAGCTGTTTAGACCGGGGACAATAATCATTTATGACTTTTACTTAATGTGATTTTTTGTTAATTATTGTGTTTAAATGAATGAAAATTCTGACAGAAAACTTCCAGCAGCCACTTGCTGTCAGTCCTTCATTTATCGTAATATCGACTGTGCCAGTTCCACTCAAACTAAGTTCTCTTTTTGGATCAGGTGCACTGAGGGAAAAGAAATGAACATTTTGTTTTCCTGGTTTCTAGGAGGAAGCCTCGCCTGGGATCGTCCAACACTGCATTCACCCGATGGCTCCCAGCTCGCTATGAAGATGGATTTTCACTTCCACTGGGCTGGACTCCAAGCAAACGAATATCAGGAGCCCTTCTGCCACTGGTAACTATTCACACATCAGACAGAAATAAATCTGATTCACTGAAAAACCTACTATCAACTGTCCTGAGCCCCACCTTACCGGGAGCAGGCAGTGGGTGCATTAGTACAGTGTCCTTTCACTTAGCAATAAATCCAATCCAGTCAGATAGGATGAAGCTCGTTTCTCTCTCTTCATCCTTTAGCATTCTTTTACAAGTTGTCTCTGCATCGAGGAAACCCAGTTCCTAGAGGGTACTGCTCCTTAATGCAGTGCAAACTGGCTGCAGGTTTGTAGCCACACTTAGAAAGACTGTTGTATGAAGTGATGCACAAATGAGCTTGAATAAAAAAACAAGTGTATCACCTGTGAATTATCTCTGGACCTGTATATTTAGAAGTTTGGCTAGATTGATTTTAGTGATGAAAGGCTTGTCTTAAGAAGAGACATTGAGTAATTTAGGCCTATATTCACTGAAGTTTGGAAGAATGAGAGGCGATGTATAAGATGCTAAAGTAGATGTTTACCCTTTGTGGGGCAATCTAGAACGAAAGATCATAGTTTTAGGCTAAGAGTTGGCAGATTTAAAAGCAATGAGGAGGAATTAGTTCTCTCAAGTGTCATGAATCTATGGAATTCACTACCCCAGAGTACAGTGGATGCTAAGACACAGTGCAAATTTAAGGAGGAGATGGGCAGATTTTTAATTAGTGATGGGTTAAAGGGTTAGGGAAAGTGGGCAGGAAAATGAAGTTGAGGCCAAAATGAGATCAGCCATGATCGAATAAATGACAAAGCAGGCTCGAAAGGTTGAATTGCCAGTTCCCAGTTCTTATGATTTTTATTACCAGAAAGAATGGTATGTAAGTTATCCGGTTTTATCAATATCCCCTCAGTTGCTAACTTTTCAGCAGAGGGACAGATACGATGATGGTGTGATAATAGATTAACCTTTGTCCTGTTTTCCTGTAATGAATGCTTTCTGCTTCTTCTCCAGGTTCGTGAAGTGTCCAATAAAATCTTGAGAACACGCAATGAAGACGTGGTCAATGATACAAAGGTCACTCACTTGTTTATGCAGTGGGGTCAGTGGATTGATCATGATATGAGTTTAAGCCCTCATTCTGGCAGCATCCAGACCTTCAATGATGGCATTGACTGTGAAACAACTTGTGTTCAAAGAAATCCCTGTTTCCCAATACGGGTGAGAGTTCAGTTCAACTTCATTCTGAAATAGAGTTTTGAGTTTTCGCTCTGATTTCCTGAATAGAATGAAACTAATCCTAGATTATTAATCTAACCAAGTGCTCTTGGACAAAATCATCACACAAACACAAAATGCACACGTGACCAAATTGTATGTTTTTACGGGAATAGTTCGAAGGATTATTTTCATCAGGACAGAGGATGAAATGGCTTAAAAATTTTTGCTTGTATTGTTAAGGAGGCAGATGCTTAATTATATAAACATTAAGGAAATCCCATTTTATTTTTTTCAACATGATGTCTTTGACTCTTCATCATATGTCAAAGCTGGCAGAAGATTATGCAATTGGATTTGAATCAGGAAGGGAGAGCTGTAGGGATCAGTGAAGATTGGTTCGGAGCGAATTATTTCACTTTAGCTGTGCGATCGGGGAGCAGATATGTCTCTTGGCTTCACATTCAGAAAGATGCCTTTTAAAATGTATTGTCTTAGAAACGTAGAAACATTAAAAATGGGCAGACCAGAGGAAGGCTATTTAGCTGTCATATCTGTGCTGTCCAAAAAAAGTTACATTGTGTTATCACACTTTCCAGTTCTATATCTTTCACTTTCAAGTGCATATTCAGACATTTTATTTTAAAAAGTGAGAGTTTTCTGCCTCTACCACACTTTCAGACAGTATGTTCCACATGCCCAATACCGTCCGGGACTGCAGATCTCTCCTCAACTGCTTTCTCATCATAGTTTGTCACTGGTTATTGACCTCTCTGTAAAAGAAAATTGGTCCTTCCTACCCACTCTATCTGGAACCCTCCAAAGATTATTTACTTCAATTAAACCTTCCCTTCTATTCAAAGTAAACCACCTTGTCGTGTGAACCTACTCGCATGATAAGCCAACTGTAGCTCTGGGTCCTAAGGGCAGCTGATGTCTCCTAGCAGACTGATGGAGAGGTGGCGAGACTCTTATTTCTTTATGATGAAGGTTTAATACCTCCTTCAGGCATGGGCACTGAGGTCAGAATTTAAAATTTACAACCTATAATGGTCAGTATACCTTCAGTTTGTAATATATGTCCACCGTATTGAAGATTTGCACCAGAAGAAACTTTCTGAATGTCTGAATTTACTGACTCCAGACAGATTATTTTCTTCCAATTTACTTTCACAATGTGTTCCAAACTTAGGGGTCAGTTAAATCATTTGTCTGGTTTTTGAAGCAAATTAGTACCAACAATGTGAATTCAATTGTCAAGCTAACAACCATGAACGTCCCCCCTTTCAATAAGCTGTGGGACTCTCGTGTTAAACTCACTACCAGTCATCTCTCTCTATTAAGAGAACAGTCCTGTGTTCCTCTCAGACTATTTACCTTTTTACTTTTCCTCCTAAATCAATTTATTGTCTAACCAGCCAATCTGCTGAGCCCTACTCCCCTTTCTATTCGTCTATATGTGTTTATAAACTAACTATGTCTGACAGAATTCTGCATCTTTCCTGACAGATCCCTCGAGGTGACACAAGAATCAGGGACAGGAGTACATGTTTGCCGTTCTTCCGGTCAGCTCCTGCGTGTGGCAGTGGTGAGCTGGGCTCATTGTTTGGAGATGTCAACACTCGTCAGCAGATCAACGTACTTACTGCTTTCATTGATGTTAATGAAGTCTATGGCAGTACAGACTGTCTGGCCAACAAACTCAGAAACCTCACTAATGAACTTGGCCTGTTGGCTGTCAATGAGGAATTCTCTGACAATGGACGAGAATATTTACCATTTAACACCATTTCAAGCAACCTTTGTGGAAGTATGGGGGAAAGTTGTTTCACCAGTGAGAACTCAACTCCGTGTTTTATAGCTGGTGAGTAACAGCTGGATTAAGAAATCCTGTCTCAAGTAACTTTTGTATGGGGCATTCCTTTTACATGCACAGCTCCAGCCTTACAATCGTTTAACACATATTGCAAGAATTTACACCGAACGATGTCAGGCAATATTGATGTAAAAATTGGTTGACTAGCTAGAAATGAACACCAAAGCTTCCAATTTGGTGCTTGTGTGCACTTTCTGAGCTGGAAGAACATCAGTCACCATATTGATCAAGATGCAGGTAGAGGCATCAATTTCCAGGATACGTCCCCAAAGTTCCACAGTGGTTCTGCCATGGTCGTCTCTGTTCTTAGCTATGTATCAGGAGCCTGTATAGAGTTTCAGAAACATCCGCTGCATGAGAGTTCTTCAAGTGATTAAGAAGTCAGCCAATCTGATTGCAGAGTACGTGAACATTGAGGAATCAGAAATTGCCTCAGTTAGATCTTGATAAGGCAGGTAATCTGGAGTGGATCTTGGGCAGGGCCAGGAGTGCCGTTGGCAGCAGCCACATTCCCATTCCTCTTTGCTATGCATTAACACCGTAGCACTTAGCTGCAGATTACACAGGGATAACCAAAACGTCTGGGTTCAAATCCCAAAGGCCCTGGATGTGTGTCATAATGTTTGTACATGTTGATTAAAAATAACTCTGCTTGATTCTTCACTGCTTTGGTCTGAAGACAGACATTTGACATCCCCTTTTGTATATTTAAAGAATCTAGTGTCAGTATTAGGGTAATATCAGGAGAACATTTACAGATTCCAAGCCAATCTGGTATCAAGCATGTTCTGACGCTGTTAGGACCTGTGTTTGATGCTTTTGACATGAATGCTGTGACCATGTTTTACACCAAGGAAATAGGGTGTAAAGATCAAACATCAGTTCTACATTCCTCTGAGGTACATCCAGTCTCAACCCCACAGCAGGGTTCCTGAGTGCAATGATAGCAGCGTAAAGAGATGTGTGCTGAAGCAGCTTGTTGTGGAGAATGAAATGTACGCTAAGGAAAAGGAAGGAATGACACCTAACTACAATAAAAACAGGGAAGATGGCTCTTAACTGAAGGAAAGAGAGGGAAAGATTTCTAACTGAGGATTTCTAGGCATTGTGTTTGGTATTGAACTTGAGTAAGCCACATCATAAAACAAATGCAGTGACCCACCTTAAACATTGCTAAGGATGATTCATGTTGTTATATTGAATGGGTAGCACCATCTGGTTTTTAAAATAGGATGTACAACACTCTCTGAGCTTCATTCTTGTGCTTCCCCAAATCCCTGGATCTCCTTATCCTACTGCAGCACCTAATCCATACTCAAGTACCTGTTCTGTTGGATATTTCTCTACGTCTCTGTCTCCTTCATTAACAAGACAATGGTAAACCCAACACTGGATCCTGTTCACAGGGGATGTACGTGTCAATGAACAACTGGGGGTGTTAACCTTCCACACGGTATTTCTCCGGGAACACAATCGTTTAGCAAGAGAATTGAAGAGGTTGAACCCTCACTGGAGCGGAGATACAACTTATCAGGAAGCGAGAAAAATCCTGGGAGCTTTTCAACAGGTACAGAGAAAATGTCATGGAAAATGCGACTCACTAACTAAATTCCAAATCCCTTCACAGCAAGTTGTGGGACTGAATTTAAAAATTTGTGCTGAATAGCAGACACTATTTTTATTTTTAAAACCTAACCTTCAGAAAGTGAGAGATAGTAGGAACTGCAGATGCTGGAGAATCTGAGATAACAAGAAAAAAAAAGGGTCTAGGCCCAAAACGTCAGCCTTCCTGTTCCTCTGATGCTGCTTGGCCTGCTGTGTTCATCCAGCTCTACACTTTCTTCAGAAAGTGATCTTGTTTCCATCTCCAGGGTTGAACTCAATGTGATATTAGCCCTATACCATGTGGACAAGTATTTGTATCCTTAAGGAAGGACTGTAATGCTGTTGTGCCCATTTTAACCACATCCTGGTCTAACTCAGTCCTGAAGAGTATGGTTACCTAAACATAGGTGGAAGGCAAGGAAAGCATTCAAGAAGGAAGATTTATGAAATCAATAATATAAACCAAAGAACTCCAGATGCTGGAGATCTGAAACACAAACAGAAATTGCTGGTGAAACTCAGCAGCTCTGGCAGCATCTGTCGGGGGGGAAGGAAAGTCAACATTTTGACTGAGTTCTAATGAAGAGTCACTGAACTCAAAACGTTAACTCTGCTTTCTTCCCACAGATGCTGCCAGAGCTGCTGAGTTTTACCAGCAATTTCTGATTTTGATTCGTGAAGTTAAGTTTGTTTGTGTTGAGGAAAGAAGACTGCTCCACCCGACCTTTTATGATAGTTATGAATGGAACTGACAAAACTCAGCTGAGCAAGTTGCTCATCTTGTGGGAATGTTGAAATCTTAGGAGATGTTTCTAAAACGCGAAGAGAGTAAGAACGAAAGCTGTGAGAAGTAGTCAGTGAGGTTTGAGTTAAAATTCCCAAGGAAAGAACATAAAGTGGACAATGGGGTGGCCCTGCCCCTTGTGTTCAGGCGGTGGGTCGGCCCTGTGCCCCCCACACCCCCATGTTCAGGCAGTGGGTCGGCCCTGATCTGGGGTCACATAGCCTGTAATATTCAGACGATTCCTTCTTACTGAAGTAAGTGTTTACCCGAATGAGACTCATTCACAGGAAAATCTTGCAGTAAAGGCCAATTTGCAGTTGTTCTCACTCGCAAACCTCAGCAGTGGTGAAAACACAAATCATTCTCTCTGTGCCAGAGCAGTAACCAGTTAATATCCAGTGACAAACAGATTGCTAACACTCTTATTGATCCATTTTAAATGTATTATTTTTACCTCTCATTATATCAATCTTTTCTCATTATCTTGTTTCTCACAACTATAGATAATAAACCACAGAGACTATGTTCCTCTGGTAATTGGAGAGGAGGCAACACAGAAATTTCTCCCACCTTACGAAGGCTACGATGAATCTATCGATCCCGGTATTGCCAACGTTTTCGCAACAGCAGCTTTCCGTTTCGGACATCTCAGTATTCAGCCAAAGCTATTCCGTCTCAATGAAAACTTCCAGGAACACCCACAATTCAAAAGCATTGACCTGCACCAGGCTTTCTTCACTCCCTGGAGACTGATCAGGGAAGGTAGGTAACAGCCTTTAATATGACGGCAGCAATCTCATCCTGAGACATTGCAGTGAGACTGAGAGCAGCCTTCCACTGGGCAAATAGTTTTGTGTTTCTTTTCGAGCTGAATACTTTTTCCTTGCTGTGTCTGCCTCAGCAGTAGTGCGGAACAGCGCACCCAGAGTAAACTGTTGCTTTCCAGGTTATTAATTTGGGGACAGATATTCTCATAGGCACAGCCTAAAGGCAGCTGCTGCAGAAATGGAGCTGGTAAAAGGGAGAGGCAAATATCCACCAGGTACAGCCTCAGCCTTGGGTCCACCTAACCGCTCACCTCCCAGAGGGTCCCAAGATCATCATAGGTTGAGGTTTCTTTTGTCGGCCCCACATCACTGTACACCTTCACAGCGTGGTGGCTCAGTGGCTAGCACTGCTGCCTCGCAGTGCCAGGGACCCAGATTTGATTCCAGCCCTAAGCGATTGTCTGTGTGGAGTTTGCACATTCTCCCCATGTCATTGTGGGTTTCCTCTGGGTGCTTCAGTTTCCTCCCGCATTCCAAAGATGTGCAGGTTAAATGGATTGGCCATGCTAAATTACCAATAGTGTCCAGGGATATGCAGACTGGGTAGATTAGCCACAGCAAATGCAGGGTTACAGGGATGGTGTGGGTCTAGTTGGTCTTCAGAGGGGCAGTGTGGACTCGATGGACCAAATAGCCTGCTTCCACACTGCAGGGATTCTATGATTCCCATTCATACTGGTCCCAGTACTGTGTTTCCCCTGGTGCAGCAGTTCTGAGGAAAAATTACAGAAGTTGCGACTGTTTACAATGGAGAGGAGATTTGATAGATGTTTTCAAAATCATAAGGAAAAACCTTTATTCTCGGTTTCTTTAGCCTGCCCCTGCACATCTTCCTCTCTGCACAGGTCCCAGATCCCCCAATGTCCTTCCAATTGGGTTTTGAGAAGGCTGAGGAATAAGGAGGTCCTGGAGGCTTTCTGCTGAAGCAAACCTCAGAAAAATCAAACTCTTGGTGTCATTTAGTTGACCGTGATTAAGATCACGCTGACACTGGTGTAGCAGTTATGCACTCTGGCAAATCAAGTGGATCCCCAGATCAACCATTTCAAGGCCTAGTGGATGTGAGCAACAAACACTGCTCAAGTACAATCTACCTTACTTCAGAAATCTGTTCAGAAACCGCTTTACCATCCACCATGTATATATGTTAGAGAACTTGGTCTTCTGCCTCATTCATTCGGGGAAATTTTGGTTGCTGGCTCTAAAATGGGGAAAATTTCTGGTAGGAAACAATTCCACTAATAAATGGACCTGAATTTTCTTTAAAAGAAAAGGATCCATTATTCGACAAATTGGCAAGCAAAATGTGCCAAAAAAAACTTTTTGTTACCCAAACTCAACCCTGAGAAATAAATGCCAATTTTTCCTTCCCATGACCTCAGTATCATCCAAATCTGGCCCCTGGATTAGATATGCCATTAGATATGCCTCCTGTGTCCCTCCTGGGATTCCATTGTTCCTGTGCTTTTTGGAAAAGGATGATATAGATATAAAGAAGGAAAAGAGAGGGCAGGAGGCAACACCTAAACTATAAGTAAATATGCCACAGCTTCTACAGAGAACAGAGGACCTATCCTAGGTGTTGGTCTTCCTTCTACACTATTCATATCAATTGGTGGACCTTGACTTACAGCCTCTGTCCACCAGTGGTTCTGTGCTGTCTATGGCTACGAAGGTTGTAGTTTTCAATTGTTCAATTGTCAGGTATTTGATTGTGTATTTTGCTTGACTCTTCACTGTTCTCGGAGCTGTTAGTCAAGCATGGTGGGCGATCTCAGATAAACTCATCAGTTCACCAAATCATGTCCAGCTCCAGAGCAGAAGAGTGATGTGGTTTAAAGGAGATTGACTATGCAAAGATGGAAGCCATTACTACACATTGGGGAATGAATGTTGGCAGTTAAACCTGCCTGTGATAAATTGGTTTCTCCACACTGTTCTTTCAGTGTCAAGCTCAACAATCACTGGATGTGAAGGACTACTGATTTTCAATTTCGGAGAACTCCACCTAATACTCCAAGTGACGTCATAGCAAGGCCCTATACAATTGTAGAAAGACGTACGATAATACCACTAAGCCATCGCCTCCCCTCATTTATTTCAACACAATGTTTTTTGCCCACCAGCCAGTTCCCTATCTGTGCCAGTGCGCTACTCCAGTCCCATATACTTTAATTTTACATGCTAATCTCTTATGAAGGACCTTATCAAAAGCCTTCTGAAAGTCCGATCAAACCACATCACTTGCTCCCCCTTATTGACTCTATCAGTTATGTCCTCAAAATTCCGGTAGACTTTGTCAAGCATAATTTTCCATTCATGAATTCATACCGACTCTGTCCAATCCTGTCACTGTTTTCCAAGTGCTCTGCTGTTAAATCTCTGAGAATGGACTGTAGCATTTTCCCTCCTACCGATATCAGGCTAACTGTTCCATAATTCTGTTCCTCCCTACCAACTTTTTTAAGTAGTCGGCTACATTACCTACCCTCCAATCAATAGGAACTGTTCCAGAGACTGTATAATTTTGAAAGATGATCACAACTCTAATCCATGGATCTTCGACATCAACAACCTTCATATCTCAAAGTCTATTACAGAAAAGGACACTGAGTTTTAACGAAAGGCTTGAATTACATATGTTTTTGCTTGTGATTATTTAATTTAAAGCAAGATCTTTTAGTTTTACAAGAGAAAAAAGATGAAGTGTCAGAATTTGATTGTACACTGCTTCTTGTTCTCTTGGTTATTAGTCAAGCCTGGTTGTGGTGACTGAGAGAGAGAAACCAAACTGAACGAAGCAACTGGAAGCTTCTGACACAGACATTTTAGAAACATTTGGGGAAAAAAATCAATCCTGTTCAGGGACAGAAACTGATTGATTGTATGTCACCTCTTCCTATTCCAAGGCATAAAACACCCAGAAGTGTGAAGACAACACTTGAATTTTATGCATTTAATTGTTCTGAAGTAGCAGTTAGTGACAGTAGTTACATTGGTTGGTTAGCAGTTGCCTTAGAAATGTCGTGAATGCACTGGCCAGGCATGGCTTGGAGTTAATGGAATTCTTAGAGATCCAGCACAGCAGACAGACACCAAATGTGGATGATTGCCCACAAAGGGAGGATGTGAATAATATGGTTTTGTCATCATGAAGGCCGTAGTCTGAAAGCTCTCATCACTTCCTTCAACATGCAGAGATTTCATTACCCTAGTGACCAAGTAATTATTAAAAATAGGTGATAACAATGTGTCCAATTTTGGCATTCAAGCGATGCAATTTTTCCTCAGACTGTATTGCACAGGCAGAGACAGGAGAAGATGATTGACAGAAGATCAGGAGAATCACTTTCACCGTGGCTGATGAATTTGTCCCAGAATTTACATTCAGGTGTTGATAAGATGATGCAAATGAACAGATATTCCAGTCAGTCATTTAAATATCAAAGTCAGATAAATATAAGACATACTGTTAACACTTAAAACAAATCCTGCACCTTTTGGTTTGGATGTCAACCCTTGGGATATCAACCCATCTTTTTTACATTTCTTACCTTAAGGATTTGGATTAAAATCCTCTTATTTCAGCAGAGTTCAGAAGCTTGTCACTTGCTCTGTGTATAATGTGGTCACTACTATGGCTGCCTTCAGCATGTTATCTGAATGTTAACAAGTATCACACCCTGCCCCTCGAGCCTGACTGAACCTGTCAGGTCACCATCTTCATGGAACACAACAATTATATCTGTCGCTACAATACAAACAAAATATTCTGACTGCTGGAAATTGGAAAGAAAATCAAAAAATGCTGCAAGTATTCAGCTGATCTGGCAGCACATGTGAAGAGAGAAACTAGTGAATGAATATTTTGTTTTTCTCTCTCCACAGATGCTGCCTGACCTGTTGAGTATTTCCACAATGTTCTGGGTTTTTTTTTACAAACTCTTGTTGTTATTGGGTTGGGTTGGGTTCTGTGCCTGAATATGACTCTGATCTGCTTTGTTTGTATTGTTATAATTCTTGAGCATCACTCATTCATCAATGACTCACTTCTCCCTGTAGACAAGGAAAGGATTCCATTCTACCTTTACTTGTGGAGAACCTTTTATCTCCATTCTGTTCAACTATAAGTTATTGAGAACGTTCAGCGCAATCAGAATTCAAGAGATTACTCCGAGTGAAATCCTACACTTTTCTCCTCAGATTTATTCCAGATATTGATGCAGGATGATTCCTGATAACAGTTATATTTTAAGCAATGAACAGCAGTCTGCCCACTGTCTTATTGCTGTCACAAGGAACAGCTGTCTATCATTGCCATTTACCCTTGTGTCATTGTTGGTTTAGGGACTCCAATCTGATGGGTAAAAGAATTCATGCTTTGGGTTTTGTTTCAATGATGCTTTTGTTGGGTTATAATCATTGTCACAGATATTCCTGTTTCACTCAGTTGGAAATATTTAACCTCCAGCATCAGTCATTGTACCATTAGCTGCAGGCCAAAGAGTATGTTGTCAAACTGGGAAATGGATGAAGAGGTCTTGTTTTACTCTGTGCTGTGTGTGTCTGTGTGTATTAGGTGGAGTCGATCCCCTCATGCGGGGATTGTTGGGCAGACCGGCCAAACTGCAGAAACAGGACAAGATGTTACCAGACGAACTGCGGGAGAAACTGTTTGAACTGACCGCTCATTTAGGCATGGACCTGGGTGCTCTGAACATGCAGCGTTCCCGGGATCATGGGATCCCAGGTAAGTGGAAAGCAAACACTGGGGAGAGAAAAGCAAACACTGGGTAGAGTTTGACTCTGAAAACCAAATTTGTGAAAATGTGAGTTAATACAAGAATTTCAATGTCCAGAGCCACATTATCAAGAAGCCAGCAGGAACATATTGGTTACAGTCACTGAGAAAAACTGATTTCCCTCAGCACTGATTGGGAATGATATGGAAAGGCTGATGTAAATACCGGTGTCCAGTGCAGGGTAGCAGTGGGCAGGCACAGCGTGAGGAACTGAGCAACAGTCTGTGGGATCAACTTGCAAATGGCAGAGACTGAGGAAATGGGATCAGAATCACACCTCTGGGTATCTTACCTGCTGTTGTAGGTTATATGTCTGAGATATCACAATAATTCCCTTTGAATAATGAAGGGGATTATTTACCAGGACAGATTTAGTTAGGAGACTTTATCAGAGGGATTATCATCAGGACAATATTGACTGAGGAGTGTCTTTTTTAACAATAAAGATACATTAAGGCTATTTACTGGCCAATATTTACCAGTGAGTACTTGGAGGTAATATTTGCCAAAAACTATCAGCCATGAAATATTTACAAGATGCTATTTATTGACGAGTATTTACCAGAGATTATTTGCTGGAATTCATGCTGGGAATTCTGTAAAGCAATAGATATAGGAGACTAATACATGGAGATATGTTCTCATTGTAAGGAATTGGGAAAGCAACGACCTAGTGGTGTTATCGCTAGACTATTAATCCAGAAACTCTGCTGATGTTCTGGGGACCCAGGTTCAAATCCTCCCAAGGGAGATGGTGGAATTTCAATTCTGGAAATGTCTGGAATTAAGAATCTACTGATGGCATGAAATCATTGTCTTTTGTCTGGGGAAAAAAAATGCATCTGGCTCACAAATGCCCCTGGTTTAGCCTATGTGTGACTCCAGACTTTCAACAATGTGGTTGACTCTCAGCTGCCCTCTGAAAATGATCCTGATGAAGGGTGTAAACCTGAATCATTGACTTTCCTGCTCCTCTGATGCTGCCTGACCTGCTGTGTTCCTCCAGCTCTATACTGTATTTGAAGGCAATGGCTCAGTAATATTATCACTGGATTGTTAATCCAGAAACCCAGATAATGTTCTGGAGACCTGGGTTTGAATCCCGCCATGGCAGATGGTGGAATTTGAATTCAATAAATATCTGGAATTAAGAGTCTAATGATAACTGTGAATCCATTGTCAATGGTCGGAAAAACCCATCTGGTTCACTTAATACCCTTTAGGGAAGGAAACTGCCATCATTACCTGGTCTGGCCTACATGTGACTCCAGAACCACAGCAATGTGGGTAACTCTTAACTCCCCTCTGGACAATTAGGAATGGGCAGTAAATGCTGCCTAGCCAGTGATGCCCTCATCCCATGGATGAACAAAGAAAGAAAAAAACTTTATTGACTGCCCTCTGAAATAGTCCACTACCTTCTCAAGGCCAACTAGGGATGGGCAATAAGTATTGGTCAGCTGGTGACGCCCAAGTACCACAAATGAATAGACAAAAATAAGTTGTCCTGTTTCTCTTTTTGTGTGGCTGCTAGGTAGCTGACTTCGAGCTCTCAGGACTAAGCTATTCTTTACCTGCAATGCAGGGGTGACTAGGGGATAGTTTTTCAACTGTGGCCCTCACAGCATGTTAACACTCAAAGACAGGCTGGTACACATGACAATGTTCAGACCACTCCAGCAGAGTTGAAACTGACTTTGTAACCTCTATTCTTGTGCATTCTTCAAAGGAAAAAACCCAATGTGTGTCTACAGTTTGGCACGTAATTTGCAGAAGTGGCTTGTTAATGGGCAGGTATTCTCAGCCCTTTATTGCCTTTATAGTTACAAGAGGTCACAGTACAGATGAAGTTTCGTTCACATCTTTAGATGCATCGTCCCATCAGTCCCACCCATGCCTTTGGCCAGCTGACCAACATTTATTGCCCGTCCCTAGTTGGCCTTGAGAAGGTGGTAGACCATTTTAGAGGGCAGTTGAGAGTCAACCACATTGTTATGGGTCTGGAGGCCAGGCCAGGTGAATGTACACCTGCACTTATTTTGATTTTTGCAGCAATCCTCTTTTTTTTAAAAAAAAAGAATTTGGAATTAAAGACTAAAAATGTCCATAATATTTTGGGGTTCTAATCCATTATTGTAATTGTGTTTACTAGGGATTCACTCTAGTTGAATAATTTATGGGTGAATATTTGACAAGATTGATTTATTTACAAGAGAATATTTTTGAAATAGATTTTATGGAAGAATATTTAGCATTAATTATTTTAGAGGTGCACATACCAAGAAATGGTTAGAAGAATGTTTACCAGGAAATATTTGCAGCATTTCAGGATGTCCTAAATTCCCAAATGTCCCAAAAGCAATGAGTTACTTTTGAACTGTAGTGACTGTTGGACTCTAGGAATCATTCTTAGCAAAAAGGAAGATGGCTGTGATTGTTGGACTCAAGCATCTCAGGAAGTGCAAAGTCTTGTAATTGCACCAACTCTCCCAGCTGAGTCCTTAGTCTCAGGCAGTACCACTAGATGGACACATGAGACAGCATCCATTCAAATCCACAAACCCATTATTAATGAGTTATGGTGAGACATAACAGGAAGAGTACCTCCAGAACATTCTACAAATCTCCACTCAGTTGGCTTCAGGAAGGCATTGCAGTTATCTGATAGTTAGCTGGCCAAAGTTGGGTGTGGGTCTGATGGGACGATGCATCTGAAGATGTGAATGAAACTTCAGTCTGCACTGTGACCTCTTGTAACTATAAAGGCAATGAGGTACTGAGAATACCTGCTCATCACCAAATCTTTGAATCTCAGTATTTATGTAGCGATAAAACAAAGTTTATTGAGCACTTTCTTTTTCTAGCATAACATATAATAGCTAACAGGTGTTTTTATGTTTCACGCTCTCTGAATTTCATAGGTTACAGTGCTTGGCGGAGATTCTGTGGCCTTTCAGTTCCCAGGTATTCCAGTCAGCTTGCTCGTATCCTCAACAACTATAATTTAGCAAGGAGACTCATCAGCTTGTATAGAACTGCACAAAATATTGACGTGTGGTTGGGGGCAATCTCTGAACCCTTCGTAAAAGGTGGCAGAGTAGGCCCTTTGTTGGCCTGTTTAATAGGACAACAATTCAAGAACCTGAGAGATGGAGACAGGTAAGGAACAATAGTAGTAGCAAAAAAAAAATTAAAAGCTTTGTTATTCATTGAGCTGAGGGTTTACATTTCACAATAAAGGCACTACTGATCAGAGATACTAACTACCAGCCTGGGTAGTTATAGGCTCAGTCATTAATTGTGTTGTTGAGTAAGGCAGGTAGAGGTTGTGCTGAAAAATTGTCAATTGCCTCTTCTTGTCCATGAATGTGCCGTTTAACATCCTACTGGAAACCCACCAGACCATGAAGACCCCAAATAGCCTCAACCACTCAGTCCCCTGAGGAAATGTAAGAGTTAAAAACACATAAAACAACTTTAAAGTAAATAGCTGAGCCTGAGTTCATTGGCAAGGTGAAACGAATCGTAACACAATAAGAGTTAGAAGGAACGACCAATGCTGGAGTCTGAGATAACCAGGTGTTGAGCTGGATGAACACCGCAGGCC